GGCTAGGGAAGGGGAGGAAAAATACGTGGGTGTGGAACTTCAGTTTTACAAGTTGTAAAACCTCTGGGGGACTTGGGGTATTGCTGAGTGGTAGAGTGCTTGCCTAGCATGCCTGAGGCCCTGGGTTCCATCCCTAGCACTGTGAAAACAAGTAACTCCAAAACCTCTGGGGATTGGTTGCATAACAGTGTGAATACACTTAACACAACTGAACTGTAGACTTAAAATGATAAGTTTAATGCTATGTGTATTTTAACACAGTTAAAATTTTAAAATAACSTATTTTGAAAATGGCTTTCTTAGAAACACTGATGAAATCCAGCCTGCAGTGAGACAAGTAGTACTGTACCAAAGTTAATTTCTTGGCTTTAATGATGGTACTGTGGTTATGTAAGATGTGAACATTACAGGAAGCTGGTTGAAAGCATTCAATAGAATGATTTTTGTCTCTTATAGAATTCTATAAGTCTAAAAGTATTACAAGATCAAAATTGTTTTGAAAAGACAAATCTCTTGTACATAAAAATCACAAATAATGTAGGAAAGTATTCAGCCCTCAAGGAGGCAGAGCACCACTTCACACTTAAATGTGGGCTCTGAATAGGGACTTCGTACATTGTGGAGACGGGGATAAAAGGAAATTCACTGTGGAGAGTCTGGACAGATGCTAAGTCATCCAGGTGATCAAGGTCAACATTAACAACCATAGATCATGCTGATAGTATACACCCTGGATGGGAGCTGACCAGAATCTCATTTTACTGTTATGTTTTTTTTTGGGGGGGTCTCCCCAGAAAAATGGTCTGTCTAATCATTAGAAAAGCATCAGAGAAATCCTACTTAAGGAATATTCTACAAAATATACAACCAGTGCTCTTCAAAACTGTTAAAATCATCACAAACAACAACAACAAMAAAAGACKGAAAAATTGTCACAGTCAAGAGAAACCTAAGGAGACATGGGGATTAACTATAAAGTGACATCCCAAGCAGGGTCTTGGAAAAGAAAGAGGACATCACCTAAAAAAGTAAGAATGTCTGAAGAGAGCATGGGCTTTAGTTTAGTTTCAACAAATGTAACAATGATTGAAAGATATTAATAACAAAAGGAAWCTGGGTGCAGGGTTCATGTGAACTCTGTGATCTTCAGGGCTTTTTGTAAGTCTAAAGCAGTTCTAAATATAGACTTTTTTTTTTTTAAAGGATACGTATTGCATGATTCTACTTGTGGAACATTCTTGAAATAGCAAAACTGTGGAGATGGAGTACGCACTGTCATAGGTTAAGGATGGTGATCAGGGAGGGGTTGGTTAGTGTAAGGACATCTTTGTGATAATGCTACAATTGTGGATCTTGATTGTGGTGGCAGTTACATAAGCCCATACATGTGACAGAGCTGCATAAATATGCACCCACAACCACAGGCATGCACACACGTGCGAGTTACACACACAACAGGAGACACTAAATAAGATCTGTGGATTTTTACCAATTTCATGGTGTAGGTACTRTACTGTGGCTTGTGTGGGATATTGGCATGAGGGGGCCAGTTGGGCTTCCTTGTATATTCCTTAGCAACTTCCTGTGATTACATAATTATTTCAAAATAAAAGTTTCTAACATCTTTTGAAAACTGAAGCTATTCCCAGATGTCAAATGTCAGCTTAGGAAACTGCCTTAAGGACATACTGCTGAACCTAAGTAGTGGTCTGGTTGTGCTGTTTTGTTCCCTGGCAAAGAGCTGAGGCAATTTTTGGCTTTGGGAGTGGAGTCAGGGGTCTTCCGGAACACGGAGCACTGCAGACACAAAGGAGGGGTTGGGGTTTGCAGCTGGTATTGAAGGTACCCGGCAAGGGAGACATGGGTGGTCTGAGGGAGAAGAAGAGGTAGAGGTAATTTTGCTAGAGGTTGGCACTACTTTTCAGTGATAAACAGTATGTCTTTATTTTTTTTTAAAGACTCTCTTTTCATGAAAGAACTTTTGTGAGAATGAGAAAAAGATGCCCACTGAGGGCAGACACCACACCAATTTCCCCTCCTTTAGTGTTTTATATACCTGTTTATTATACAGCTTGATAAGGGGATGTACAGACTTTGTCTCGGCCACCCATTTCTTTCTCAGCCATGTCCCCTAGGGCAGGGTACAGCCTGGGCAACCTTTTATGGCAACCCTGACTGATGATCGTACCTTCTCACATGTGACATTAAGAGCAGATACCAAACGAATGGTGCAAGAGATTTTTATTTGTCATCTTGAGACTTGCTAGAGAAAGTGAAGTTTGAATTATATCCTGAAGGACATTGATGATGTAGGTAGGTTTGCTTGAATAAAACTCAATGAAGCCCCKTCTTTCTTGCTAATTCTTAAATATTTGGTAACTGGCAATATGGAAGCAGGGAAGAAAGGAAGGCAGAGGGGATTTGATTATATGCCTTCCTTCTATTTGTTTCAYGAACGTCTTCTCCACCTTCACATCTGTCAGTTGTAGAACCACAGGACAAGCTGCTGAGACACAGACCCCAGTATGTCATGTGTTCCATTCAATGATGGGAGCTGAAGTTACAGGTAGGACTTGTTGGGAAGGTGCAACAATGACAGAAGAAGAGATCTTTAGAATGGGAGAGCACCGCGAGCTCATACCATTTAGTATCCCATTTCCTAAAGTCAGCAAGTAAGACTCAAAGTCATTTTACTCCTGGGGACAGAGTTCTTTAGTGACCTAGCAGGTAAAGAAACACCTTCCAGGTATCTTGATCTTCTGCCCMAATTCTGTTCATTCAAAATAAGAGGATTAAGTATATATACTAAACTTAATAATAAGAATCTGAAAAATCTTGTTTGAGATTTTAATACTTCACATTGTTCCTTCCCAATTTTACCATATTTTGGAAACAGTTTTTCCTTTAATTCATCCTGGAAATCAAAAGGTTTTATGTCAGGAAAGTGTATTGTCAAAGCTTTGTAACAATTTAAAATCTGGATGTTGGCATTTCCCATAAAGACCAAAATGAGGGGCTGGAGTTGTGGCTCAAGGGGTAGAGCACTCTCCTAGCACATGTGAGGCACTGGGTTCGATCCTCAACACCACACAAAAATGAAGTAAAAATATTGTATCCACCTAAAACTAAAAAAAAAAATAATTTAAAAAACCCCAAATGATAGTAGTAGCAATAGAAAGGCACACCTCTTGCACACTATACTCTCTCACACCCATTTAATATCTCATCTGACCTATAAAGAAGTCTTTTTCGACCTTGGGCAAGTCCTTTAGTTCTGCACATCCCATTGCCTCACTTCCTGTAGCATGCCTGAGAGATTTTTGAAGTGGTAATTGATTTCCAGCATCTCCATTCTTCTCCTCCCACCCTCTGCCCCACAACAGAAGGAACTGGGCTGGTTTGTCCCTATCCCCCTGGGGCATGGATCTGACAGCTAAAGCAGAGGAGAAAAATTAGAAAGACTTTCTTTCTGGCTTTTGAGTTTCAAATACCTAGAAACTAGGAAACAGAAGTAGGCATAGAGGAACAATCAGAAGGAAGTGGAATGAGCCATTCTTGCTGGGACCTTTACTTCCTTCCCCTCCAGGTTAGAAAAAGGATGCCTTGGTTCTGGAACCAAGATTCTGCTAGGTTAATRGACTAGGGTCTTAAAAATGAATACAATTGAGCTGCAAAAGAATTAGAAAATGTCTATTCCTTCCGCCCATCTATTTGTGGACTGAGATTCACACTGGCCACGTATGGACATCTGCCACTTTCCCAAGGGTCTTGGTCAGCACATTGCTACCCTATGGACTGATTAAAATCCCTAAGTTGAGGCAATCTATTCTAAAGCAACAGTTTTGTCCTTGTGTAGAAGCTGGTAGGAAGAGATTAGGGGCACTCTGGGAAGTCATTTCTGATTTTAGAAATGCCAAGAGTCTAATGAGGCCGATTTAGGAAGAGGACTATATAATGCATTGACATTTTCTGGTTCAGTGCAAAATACTAGAGTGGAGAGGAGAAAGGGAAAATTTTACTGTTTGAGATTGCGGATGACGTTCTTTGTCTCAGGAGACCATCTAAGGCACAGTGCTCTCTCCTGAGAGTCTACACCTGAAAATGTCCACTTATTTTACCCACCTTCTGTTTCTCTGCTGTGGGTGCCACAAATACTGAATGTCATGTTAAATGTGACAGTGGGTGTGACTGACAGTTGGGGTGGGGAGCTGCTCATAACATTTGTTACCTATCTTAGCTTTTGAAAGACACACGTCAGAAGACAAAAGAAAAAAAAAGGGAAAAACCCCATAAATATATGTGCCTTCACCTACATAGTAGAATGTAAAAATTATACTTTAATACACCTATAAATATGAACTCAGACTTGGAATACAAAAAGGTGGAAAAGAAAAAAGAGAAATGGAGGGATCTACACTGTTTCCAAGACTCCATAACCTTTTAACCCTCATTATGTTCTGCTTATAACTGTAGTTCATTTTTCAAATGCACATTGTATAACTTCCTCCAAAGGAAGGATCCTAAGTGTTAGGTTCTGGGTAGGCGATCAGTAACTATGGTTTATAAGGTAGATCTTCCTTTTCATGGTTCCAGTAAAACTTGAAGCCAAGCTAAGGACCCATTCTTCAGCTATCTGCCATTCTGGGATACTTCGAGAACATCCATAATGTTCTTCTAAAAATTTAGAATAAGATGGATCTCCAACTTCCTATAGCATCCTATGACTGCTKTTAGCAGGAGTCTGACAGTTGTGTGATCCGTCCCTGGCTTGATGTTCAGGTAGTGAAATATTCTCCGAATAGAAACCCAGCAAGCAGACTCAAATCTTGCCTACAACATATCTCCCAGCAGCAGACAAAAGAGAGAAGTTCAGTAAGATTTTTGTCAATGATTCTGTAGCCAGTTGGTGTGAGCAAAGACCCCCAAATACTATTAGACTCCTTACTGATGTGAACCAGATGGAAAATAAAACAAAAGAATTCACAACTCATGTTAGACTGAATTGAATGTCTTTAATTTCACACAATGAATAACATATGAATAGGATTAACTTTTTTTTTAATAGTTAAGTGCTCTATACTGTGCTAACCTGATCTGGTAGCGAAAAAGACTGAGCTTTCTTTTAGAAAAAAATGTTTAAAACCCAACATCTAAGACCATGGAGGAGCATGACAGTAAAGCATGCCAGATGTATCTACGCCTCAAATAACAGCAAGTCCATGTTCATTTTAAATGTACAAAAATGCTTTATGAATAAAAACTGTTACAAAAGAACATTTCAAACAATGTACAATTTTTCTTGCCTCTATATTCAATAAAATACAAATACATTTTTGTTCTAAAATATGTTTACATACAATCAAAGTAGAACATGCAAATTACACTTTAAAAAAGGCTTTTAAAAACCACTTATGAATACAAACTAAAAATTAGCCAGCACGACTTGTAAGACAATCTTGTGCCCCATTTTTTCTTTTGAAATATATATGTACATATTTAACACATCATGTGCATTTATTATTATTTAAGAAATAGATTTTTTTAAAAAAAAAAGGAAGAAAAAAGAAAGACACCATCGTAGGGTGGAGCTACCTTTCGAAGTTGACCAGTTGGCAGCTCTGTTCAATTTTCCCCCTTTTAGTGTTTATTGTACCTGGGCAAGTGGGCAATAGGTATCCAGGAAGTTTCTTCCTTGGTTGATATGTGCTTCTAAGACTGTTCCCCAAATGACTGTGTCCAATAGGGAAGGTAGACTCGCCAGTGGGGTGAACTCTCCAAGAAACAAGAGGCAGAGGAAGCCTTGTATTGTGGAAAGAAACTTTTTAAGAAACACCAAGAAAATGCTACGGTATATTACAGTTTGAGTTGCTAGGCACTGTGATGACATTATCTGTAAGCTCTGGCATTTGGACCATTGTGATACGATGGGGTAGTGTTAAGAAAAATGTCTATATTTATCTACTTTTACATAATGAGTAGGACTGAAAATCCTGAAACGTAACACTTAAATGGCTTTTGAGGCATTTCGGCTCCTGCCACCCCCTCTCTCTCTCCACGCTAAGGTTGGCATTTAAAGGCTTTGGAAATATATGTATAGACTTTAGACAGTTCCCAGGTAAATCTTCCTAGTGATAGAGAAAAAAAATTCTCCAAAAGCTCATTATCTGAATATTGTTGGGTAATAAGCTAGGAGTGGGATTTTCTACTTAAGTCCTAATACCAAATCCTTTATGATCTGCATGTAATACATCACCTTATTCTATAATTCTGTCACCACTTGCTTATCATATTTATAGACTCAGCACTGTGCAGAACGCAAATTCTGACTGCCACTGAGCGTGGCCTTCCGCTCCAGGCAGCGGCCAAGTTAACATGCTCCTCTTCTGCCAGCCCTTAGTCACTTTCCTTGGGCTGCCAGAGGCTGCTGAGTCCTGGTCCTGCCAAGTCACAAAGCATCCCTGCATGCTCTCCTTTCCTTTGACCTTTCTTTCTTGGGATATAGCCAGAGCTGGGCTATTTGAGGAAGTTAAACTTCAGCTCCTCTCATCTGAGATGAGGGATTGAAAAGCAAGTAGCCACCCAACCACTTAGTACAGTGGATTAATGATCCATCAGCACCTTCAAGGAGGCTGTCATAGCTAGGTTTCATTCTTTTCTCATCCCTAATCGGACTCCTGGTATTATAAGTGGGTCCGTATCTGCTTGCTAAAGAGAATACTMTAGGAAAGGAAAAAAAAAACAAGGGGGGAAAAAGGAAATCAAGGGGTTTCTCATGTTTGCAAGCATATTAACTTGGGATTTTAAAATTGACTCCCATAGATAGCCAATTTTTTTCTACAAAAAAATGTTTTGTCTCTACAATACATATATGGAATTTTGTGCATCCCCAGTGACCTCTCTGAAATACAAAAAATGCAGCCCCTGTAGGCAGTGTTGGAGAGTTTAAGACTTTGGCAATCTGGATCATGAGAGCTGGGTTCTCCTCCTGGCTCTGCAATCAATGAAATGGGAAACTACACTGGCCCCATGGAGAGCTTGGACAGGAAAGGAGGGGCCTAGGAAAGCTTAGAGCATAAGAAAATGGTGTACCAATGAGATGAGTCAGGTTAGTGAAAGGCAGAAGAGAAATGGGACACTGAGGGAGTCACTGGGGAGCAGGGAGAAGAAGGTATGAAGGTGATTGGATTTGCTTCCACCTCCAAGCCACTATTTAGCATGCCTCAGCTTTGGTCCTTCGCAGTTTTCCGAACTATTCCTAGGATCTATATGTGGAGGATTTGCATGTAACTCACATGCCAACCATGAACCTGGATTCACATATAAGTTGTAACTTTGTTGTATTTCTCGTGGAATAGCTTTCATTGGTTTGGAAATTTTAATGAATCCCAAAGTTATCTGGAATTGCTCACCTGAWAGAGATTAATGCCAATTAAATTCTGGTCTTCCTTTAACAAGTTTAACAGGCACCAGTTTGTTCTCCACTGCAAGAGGATATAATCTGCTTACAGACTTGGTTGGGAGACAGTRCAATACGGGAAGAGAGAAGGGCAAGGAAGAATGAAAGAAATCATTTTCAAATCCAACAGGAAGAGAAACCTCTTTATGGCTTAATTGGAATGAAAATGGTTGCTCTTTCATAGCAATGGTGGGGTGAGAGGGGCTAATTTAAACCTTCCTCTCTGGTGACTTTGAAACCACTCAGACATGGCTTGGGAATGACAGATTGAAAATGGCTGGTTTGATTTTGCTGTTCAACTTGTGTGAAATGCCAAAGGTCAATCCAGGTCACAAACTGAGTACCTAGGATAGTAGATTTAAAAATACAGTCCTTTAAACTTACATATTGCTAGGATTAAGTGCAACTGACCTAGTGGGTGGCAAATAACGGGAAGTCCATGGCTGCATGGTGACAGTTCAGAACAGGATGGCTCTGTATGTGATTTCAACTACCTGCTGGTGCCACAACAGAGCAGTGATGTTTGTGAGCATACTAATTTGGGGATTTTAAAAATCTACTCCCATCGATACCCCATCACTTATTCTCTTATGTTCCCAACAAAGATCCATCTCTCTYTAAGGAAAATAACATTGTGTTCTGAAGTGATAATACAATTTCCAGCTGTTCCCAACTTCCTGAAAAAGAAAGTTAATTTGGAGGTAAACCAGATCTTCTAATTCCCATTATAAAATTTCATTCTCTCTCTCAGTGTCTCTCTATCTACCCTGCCAGGTATTCGATGTCTTGGGGAAGGTGAGGGGAAGAGGGAGGGAGGAAATTGGAAATACTTATTTGAAATTTCCACATCTGACTTTTAAAAACATCTACGGCAATGGGATAACTTCCTATTCATTCTGACTCTTCTTAACATGTTTAACTTGGGCTGTGGAAATGGATAATAGAGATGGAATATCTGACCACGCTAAACCAATGGCTAGAGTACAACTTGGATGAGAAATGTACAGTTGAAATTGACCATTTAAAAGACGATTTGTCACACACAGTTTGCATCCATGCAGACTGATAGATTTATAATTACATTATGTACAAAAATGTTTTAGTGTATTAAGGCAACCACAATTTGGATACTTTGTCCAAGGTGGCAKGATACAATTGGAGTGGTGATACCCTTTGAACATTTTATTTTTATTTTTCTGATAAGAACACTTACTCCCATTCGCTTTTAAGAAATAATTAGCAAGAGATAATGGACTTGTTCTATTATGTTTTTGTTTCCTTTTCTCAACAACCTATGACAGCTCTGTATGAAAAAAAATTAGGTACCAAGGCATTGCTGGACACTTGTCTTTCTGGTGGGTCAGGGGTTTTAATTTTTGGTGGCTCATCAGCTATTAGATTTGTATTGGGGTATTAAAACCATTTTTTTTCTGCCTATTCCCACTGATATGTTTTAAGTATAAAAATAACCTGGTTGACATCTTGGTCAACATATCCTTGGCTGCTCTGAGTCACTAATTAAAAAGGCTCTATCAATACTGAGTATCTTCTTCACAATGATTGGGATTCAAAGCCAAGTTCCTTGGGACAAGGTGCCAAGGGCAAGCTTTACAACACAGGTGACAATTACCTTAGATAGATGTGTACCAAGAATAGAAGGCAGCTAGTTTAGGTACATGGAAGTACAATGGACAAAGGAAAAGCAGGAACAGACGATGCTAAAAAMCAGTGTGTGAGAGACAGAGGAGGCATACAGAAGAACGTGAATGCAGGTCTAAGGTCGCCTATCACTAGATTCCACCTTCCGATCTCTCGCTTCCATCTGAGAAACTGTATTGTTGTTAACGGAAAGATTTCAGGTCACCTGCAGATGATACTGGTGTCCCAAAGCCTAGCAGAGCTTGCAAACCCAAAGAAATAAAACCAATTAAGTGAAGTGGGTTACAACAAAGCCAGTTGACAAATGTGCAGCTTTTCTCCCCTTGGAATGTTTCCTAATTGAGGGTGTTTCCCTTTGATTTTTCCTGGCCGGCAAATGAAATCGGAATCAAGGGCGCACCTTGGAGGTGGAGGTCAGGTGGCCTTCAAAGAGCACCAGCTTCCTCCTCCCGGATGGGTCTTCTCGCCTGAAAAGGACTCAGCCACACTGAAGGGCCGCTGGACTGGGAACTGCCTTACAGCACAGACGAGCTTCTTCGGAAGGTGTCCCCCTGCCTTGCTATCCCAGGAGCTCTGGATGGCTCAACCCCATCATCTGGCCTGATTCTGCCCGCCCGCTTCTGGAGAGAAGGGCATTGCTGTCCCTGCAGTGGGGGATCCCGCCCCCGCCCCGCCCCTCCCACTGCACTTGCAATTCGTCAGTTCCCCAGCTGCAGGTTCGGGGGCCCACAGCCCTAGGGAAGGACATCGCTCTCGCTCCCTCGGGATTTCCTCTGCCTTTTGGCCTTGACCTCCTCTTCCTGGGGAAGGGTCTGCTGCGGTGGYGGCTGCGGCACGGGTGGCTGCGGCTTGTGTTTCCTCTTCCCGCCTCTGGGGGTCTTGGGCAGCGGCGGGGGCGGGGGCGGGGGCGGCGGCGGCGGTGGCAGTGGCGGAGGTGGCGGCGGTGGCAGGGGCGGTGCCTCGCGGGCCATGTGGATGACCGCCTCGATGGTGGCCATGATGGTGTCTTGGCTGGCGGCCGGCTCCAGCACGAGCGGGCTCAGGCTGGGCTTCTGACCCCTTTTGCTGGGCAGGTCGATGCATTTTTCCAGCACCGGCATCTGGTCCCTGGAGTCCTCATCAAACTGATTGGGCTGCTTCCGGGGACGCCCTCGCCTCTTCTTGACGAAGTTGTTGCCTGTCTTTGATTGTCTCTGCAGCCGCTTGGCCTTCAGGATCTTGTTCACGTGGTCCAGATTCTTCTTGGTGGACAGAATCTTGGTGTAGTTGCACATCTTCCGCACCTCGCACTGGATGGCTTCGATCTCCCGTCGCTTGAATCGCTTCTTCAGGGAGGAGCTCGCTGCAGGGGGGATGGAGGGTGGGAAAGAGAAAAGAAATTGAGCTCGGGTACACCCAGTCTTTGCGGGACAACTAGACAGGGACAACTAGACAACTGGTGTTTTATTTAGTTACAAGAATTATGGAGCATCCATGCTCTGGATAATATTTCATATTTTTCTTTATTTATTAAAGCTGAAAATAAGAAGAAACATTGGCTGTATGCTTGCACGTATACATAGCCTTTCTATTTTATTTCAGTCTTCCTTATTTTGTGAAATACTGTTGTTCCCATTTTGGAGATGGGGAAACAGGCTCAGGCTATTGAGCTGACCTGCCCTGAGCTTTGGCACCTATGGCAGAATCCCGGGGAAGATTATTTCCTGGAATACTCTAACTAGGATAGCATCAACACTCCCTTGGTCCCTTCCCAATATTCTGGACATGTCGAATTGCCTGATGATGTCCAATTAACCAAGCCTTTCTTAACCAGTTCACCCCCTGTGAACCTCAAGGGAAACATCAGCCAGGTGTTTTTGAATCATTTACACTCCTCCTACCGAACTGTTGTCTGCAAAGAGTTCTTTTCATGTGCTGGTGGCCAGATGCGTCTTTATTTTATAAGCCTAACTTCTCAGGAAGTCCTGTAGTGCTGCCACTAAATGGCCTTCAGAACTGCTTCGTTTTGAAGTTTAGACACCATAAAGTGTGAATGGCTTCAAGACGTAGGCGGCCTTTTGCCCTTTAGATCATCCTTTGTCCTGTGGTGCTCATGAGCAGGCACATGTGTACCCATCTGTGTGTGAGGACACACACACACACACACACACACACACACACACACTGCCTCTCATACTGGCCACTCCCTCTGACTGTCTGTGAACTTATGAATGTGCCCACGCTAAATTCTATGCTAAATATCCATCTTTACCCTAAATATCCAGTCTCAAAGAAGCCCACTTAAAAGACCCAGGTGTAGAGGGGAACATATTTAATTTTAGCATCTTGGTTTGTTGTGTTGTACCCTCACTTTTTTTTTCTTTCATTTATTTAGTAGAGAAACAATAAATCTCTTAAGGGAGAAAAGGAGAAAAATGCTTAAAACATGGATGCCATGCCACTTATTCTTGTGTACTCCCACTTCTTTCTTTTCCTTGTTGCCCCATTTCTCCCTCATGCTGTGGCCATCACACATCTCCAGGAGGGTTTTATTTGAAGTTATTTATGCCACTAGCTTCATGGAGTGGGAAGCGCCGAGTTCCATAGGCCAGGTCAAAATGCTACTGTTTTTGGCCAAAGGTCAGCAAGACTGACTGAGCAATGAATAACTACTGAGAAATCTCTAAAACAAGTTACAAAGATCAGTAGAGAACAAAGCCAGAGCCAGCTTCTGACTATAAAAATAAAACTTTTGTAGTTAGTCTTGCAAGAAGAAAAGGTTGCTCAATTATGAGTTCTCAGAGGCAGGGACAGATTCTTGTCTGGCTTTATGTCTCTTACAGGGCCTAGCATGGTGCCTTGTACATGGACAGGATTTGAAATTTGTTTCTGTGCTAAAAAATCAGAATCATCATTGCTACTTTATTGTCACATCCTGTAAAACAGTTTTAGTTTGGATTTTAAAAGCAACTATTGCAAATACAGTGATGCTAAGAGTTAGCAGCCCTCTGTGTTAGAGAAAGTGCTGTGCCTCGTCCACATAGTAAATGAAAACTAATCAGAAATAATCCACAAAATTTCTGGCATTATTTCAAATGCAGGATCCATTTGTAGTTTTCCCTCTCTTTAGTTTATATCATCTGCCAAGGAAGAAAATGCTATGCGATATATAATACAGAGTGCTAAGTAGAAAGTAAATAATTCTGCTGACATATAATAGAGCATCCAAGTATATAATAAATCAATTCACTGGCACTGAGTGAAGTTTGATTGAAACACTCATGAGCTGGAGGTCATTTGGGAGCAAATATAACCAGTGAATTATCCCTCTAAGCACTTTCTTTTTAAGTGACAAGCCAAATAAATAAATAAATAAATAACCCAGAAACTAAAAATTAAAAAGCAAACAAAAAACCAATATATAATCTCATATTCAAAATTTTTTTGTTTACTGCATAACTTTTAGTTAAGTCTTTGCATTACAAAATGGTTATGAGCCAGGTGCAGTAGTGCACACCTGTAATCAYAGTGGCTTGCTTATAATCCCAAAGGTTCAGGCTGAGCTAGGAGGATCTCAAGTTCAGAGCCAGCCTAAGCAACTTGGTGAGACCCTAAGCAACTCAGTGAGACCCTGTCTCTAAATAAAATACATAAAAGGGCTAAGGATGTGGCTCAGTGGTTAAGCAACCCTGGATTCAAGCCCTTGTACCAAAAAAATGATTATGAAAAAAATTCTCATAGCCTAAACCCACCAAAGAGGACTGGAAATGACATGACCAGCTTCTTTGCATCTACCATTCACAATTAATGGATGCTATTGTTTTGTCCTATCAGCTTTTTTTCTTTAAAGAATTATAGATTGAGCTAAGTCATTTCTGCCCTCTCTATTCTATTCCCTTCCCTTTACATGGTTGTATTTTTACTTTTGTTGAATATATGTGGATCCAAACTGATAAAAGTTAAGTCTGTACACTATCCAACATTGGGAATGATGTAAAAAACTGGGAATTCTTGCAGATTGCTGGTGGGAGTGTAAATTGGGTAAAATCACTTTGGACAGTGATGAAGCAAGATTTAGAGTTAAAAATGTCTAGTTCAAAGCCCCAGCAAATCCACATCAAGACTGCCTCCTCCTTTACTCATCTGTAACAGTAGGCAAAAGGCATAAAAGCACATCCCTTGAAGATCAGTGTATGTTACAGAAGAAAAAAATAAATGTTAACTAAAAGGTAATGAATAAATTGTGATACTTTTAAACAAAGGAATTTTATACATATCTTAAAATAAAAGACTACATATAAATATGGCAACATAAATAAATTTAAAGAGTTGAGTAAAAAAGCAAATTGCAAAATATTTGTAAGTATATCAGTGTTGTGAATTTAAAAACAAACAAATCATTTGAATTCTTATTTCATCTTCAATATTCAATTATGGAGGTTTAGAGTGACCACTGTGAGAAAGATTGGCTGGGAAGCAAGCCTTGATAAAGGAGATTTTAATATCTGCTTTCCTTCAAAGTTACCTCATAGAACTTAACTTATCCTCTAGAACATTCTAGAACATTCCAGAATTTTCTGGAATAGTGGAAATATTCTTTATTCACACTGTTATCTACAGTAGCCACTAGCCCCATGTGCCTACTGAGCACTTAAAATGTGGTGTGACCAGATAATCTGAACTTTTAATTTTAATAGCTCTGTGTGACTAGTGACTACTGTACTGGAAAGCCCAGCTCTAGACCAAGTTACTTCAAAATATAGAGGACACACAGGGATTTAGTCAATAAAATGCAGATTGTGGGAAATGAGGCAAACAACCTGGTGTTTTCAAGAAATAAATTTCAGGGTGAGTGGAGGGAGAAACTATAAATTAAAAACAGAATACAGAGATAAGATAAGATGACCTTACTTGGATGCCAATTCAAACAAAAAAAGATCATGAAACAACTCCAAATTTACACTGCCTGGATATTTCATGGTGTAATACTTGTTAATTTTTTTAATGGTGGTCATTGCATTGTGATCATCTCTGTTTCTTTGGCAACTATATTTTATAATGTATACTAAAATATTTATAGGTGAAGTCACAATASCATCTGAAATTGGCTTCAAAACAAGAAAAAGGAGGTAGATGGGCATATTGATGAAACATGATTGATCATGAGTAGATATTGTTGAAGCTGAGCAATGGGTATATGAGGTTTGTTAATGCTATTCTGCCTACTTTTGTATATGCATGACATTTTTTTCCCATAATACAAGCCTAAAATTATGAATAAGTGGAAGAAAAAGAGATGTTCTTGAAATCTAAGACTGGTAGGAGCTCTGTTTTTCACCCTCTTGGGGTTCTAGCTCACTTAGGTAATTCCAGGAGGTTAAGAGATGTGATGTGTTCAATAAGGGGCATATGTCTGCTACTTCCCTAGAAAATTCTTGCTGGTTGCTGCCTTCCTGGTTTAAAGGTACAGGAGAAACAATTCGTTCTCTGTGTTTTATGCTTTGACCAACTGCATCAGCATACATCTCATCACCATCAAGAGCATCAGGTGTTACAGCTTAGAATCCCTCTTTCTTTAGTACATAATGATCTCTGGGATTTTTCACATCTACTAGGCATCTGAATTTTATTTTCTCTTTATGCTTATTACCAAAACTTTCAGTTCAGATTAGTTATCCCTGTGTGTGAACAACAGCAGAGTGCAGTGTAGTAGAAATGACTTTGCACAGGGGGACCTGGAAATCACAGTGAACTAGGATGAACCCTTTATCCCCTCTGGGTCTCTCTTCATCTGTTATATTGAATGAGTGGACTATAGGCTCCATGTTCCCTTCTGGATGTAGCTCCACATTTCCTTCTGGATGTAGAGATTGCTATAATCCTCTCCTATATTCAGTATCATTTGCCTTCTTGCAATGGTGGTGGGGTGGTGCTTTCTAAAACATTTATTTCATGCAATAATTTTGAAATCCTAGTGTCGGGGGAGGAGGACTTTGGACTTGGCAGGGCTGGATGTTCACAAATCTTTCTCCTTATTGCTTATGATTTCACTGTCTCTCTAAATGTTTACAGATTTTTCTCTCTTCAAATTGTTTCATTATTGGACAGTAATTTCTGGGCTCTTGCTGCAAGATTGATTCCATATTTTGCTCTCTTTCCTATAACTGTCCTATATCTTGCCTTTTTTTTTGTGAGTTTTAAAGAATAATTATGAGTGGCCCAGGCAAAATGCAAGTTCATTTCTTCATAACTCTGTAATACAAATGGTTTTTTAGAACCCCCAAATGACTATGCAAATGGCTGAGCCGGTTTGTTCTAGATATAGACTTCCTTTTTACTCCCATTATCAGGACTGGTCCATCA